TCTCAGGGAGAGGTAATCAAAGAGCCAGCCACTGAGTTCATGTCAGAGACAGTTCCTGTTCCCATTACTAGGAAACCCGCTTGGACACTGAGTTGCCATGGGCTACATCTGAGCAGGGGTTCTAGGTTAGCTCCATGAATGGTCCTTGGTTGGAATATCAGTCTCAGAAAAGACCCCTGGGCACAGATATGTTGGTTGTGTTGCTCTCCTTGTGGTGCTCCTGTCCCTTTCAGGTCTTTCTATCTTCCCCTTCTTTCCTAAGATTTCCTGCACTCAGTCCAAAGTTTGGCTATAAGTCTCAGCATCTCTCTTTGAAACTCTGATCAGTAAAGTCTTTCAGATGCCTTTCGTGGTAGGTTCCTGTAATGTTCCCTGTTTTCTCCCTCTTCTGATGTCTATCCTGTTTGCTTTTTTGAGTGAGGATTGATCATCTTACCCAGCATCCTCCTTCTTGCTTAGCTTCTTTAGCTGTACATATTTTAGTACGTTTATCCTGTATTATAGTTCTAATATCCATTTATAAGTGAGTATATACCCTGTGTGTCTCTCTGCTTCTGGGATACTTCACTCAGGATGATCTTTTCTAGTTCTGATCATTTGCCTGCAAATTTCATAATTTCCCATAATTTTAATTGCTGAGTAATATTCTATTGTGTAAATGTACCACAATTTCTGCATCCATTCGTTCATTAAGGAACATCTGGGATTCTTTTCTAAGTAGTCGATATGAGGACAGAAAACTACTGAGACTTCATAAAAATTATAAGTTTCAAAAACAAGGACCTAAAAGGAGAAATTTAACAGCCACTGGTTGTAATAGAATTTACCACTTAATAGAGGTTGTGTTAAAGTCTTTCAGGCATGATGTAATTGATCTTTGAGTCATTGTATGAGGGAGACAACTGTACCTTGATTTCTATCCTAGTATTCACAACAATGATTTAAGACATTGAGTGACTAGGACTTGAGCAGTTATTAGTTGATTCTCTCTCTCTCTCTCTCTCTCTCTGTGTGTGCGAATGTACATGCATAAATTTCTTTTTGAAAGCACAAGATCATTAATGAAAATACAGTTAAGTTTTGAAGGTTGTATTTTTTTATTATATAAAATGATAGGTAAACATCTCCTTAAGAGTATAAATGCAATCACCCTTATTTATAATGTCAAAATATGATGGAAGGACAGTGATATCAAGAGTTCTCTAGGTAACTTCTGACAAGGGATTTCATGGAGAAGCAAACCCTTTGCTCCTGGGGTTGGTCTACTGTTATGCATTCAAATGCTAAATACTGGCACCCAAGATCTCATTGCCACCCAGACTAGCACATTCTCAGGTACAAGTAATGTTGTTTAAACCTTGCTCCACAATTTAAAATTGGTTGGTTAATAAACTAGCTGGTCAGAAGAGAAGTAGGCTAAGCTTAGATTCCCAAGCTTAGGGTCAGATGGGGACCATGAGGAAGAGGAGAAGCAGGAGAAGCTGAAGACAAAGAAGTTGCCATAGGGCAGTAAGGACCAAAAACATGTGGCCAGATGGACCAGAAGCAGCTCAGGCAGGAGCAGTATGGCAAGTAACTTAGGGTGGATAGCCCGGGAATAGCAAAATAGGTTAGAGAGTTGATATCTGCCCGTTACGGTGCTTTATAATGCTTTTTAATTCTAAAAGGTCTCTGTTTTGATTGTTTGGGACCTAATTGGGGTAGAATTCCTCCAGAGTCTAATATCAACAACTGTTTGAAAACCATATGTCAGAGGTTCTGTTGTTCCCTGTCACAGAATACTCTCTCCTGCTAGCATCATATACTGACCCTGGAAGATGCTTGTAAAGCATTCAATACTTAGCTTACTGCTCATATAATATTACTCTAGTAAATTATCCATGAATGGCTTGGCAGCCACCTCTACTGAGCACATGATACTCACAAAATTTGGATTCAGATAATTTTGAGTTTGTCTTCCTTTCACAGAGACATGGTTCCCCTTACCAGAAAGTTGATACTAAGCAGTAGAGGGTAGGGTAACACACCACATTGTTAATGGAAAGGAAAGGGCATTCACAAGTAGGGACTCACAGGAAATTCATAATACATTTATGGGGCATATATGGCAAGTGTGGGGCAAAGTTCAGATTGGCCATTCTGCCCTAAAGAGAAGACTTCACTTCATGATTCTGCAAGCCTCACACGATGGTTGAGGTAAATAGAGCTGAACACAGAAGTCAATTTTATGACCAACTTGAGCCAATTTGAAGGTAATATTGGTAAGCCATACTTAAAAGCAAAGAGTTTAAAAAAATGTAAAATAAAATACTTAATCAAGATATATTTTTATTGACCTAAAAATACCTGAAACTATTCTAAAATTTATATAACTGCCCTTGAATTATTTCTGTTGCACTTTATAATAAAAACAGTGATTTAGTGAACTTAATTCATGTGATAAAACCCAGACAAGGAATGGACAACCAGAAACCAAATTCCACAAAGGAAATAAAAAAAAATCATATCTAAATGAGGCAAACAATATAGCAAGATGTTATTTTAAAAATTCATAGAAATGAAAACATCCAGTAGAGGCAGCTTTTGTGTATGGCTAATGTCCTTTGGGCTTGCTGGTAAGAAGTAAGAAATTTTAAGTATTCTACAAAGTTCTGAAAGTATCTCTTCCAAGCACTGATTAAAAGAGCAGAATACCAAATGCAGCCAACAAATTTCTTTTGCATTTACTGGCTACTGAGAATACTAGGCACTTTCTTGTCTCAATCATTCTGTAACTATCCTGCCTTGGCCTATCTATACATATTCATCACTCTGACAGCAGAATCAGGAATGAATATGCAGATAAGAAAACAGAATTGCATCCCTTTATCTTTTAAATATGGGACACACATAAAAATAGATACAGGAGGGTAGGTTATTAGAATGAACCATAAAAATAAGCAGAGTGCATCCTTTCTTATCCTGATAAGGCAGAGCAAAGACAGGAACTGCCTTCAGCTTGTGTGTGTCCACGGCTTCTCATTCTTCTCCTGAAATCCAGCACTCAGTGCTGAGCATTTTCCCTGTACCTTCTATTGCACATCTGTGGATTGCCCATTCCACTACACCATTCAAGCAGTGGGAAATTGTGATATTGGAGCTCACAGCTGGAAGCTTCTAAAAGATGGACATTGACTCTTGAGCTGACTGTCAAGCCATCCTTTTTGAATATCCTGGCAGTGACCTAAGAGGCCAGAACAGGTTCAAGATCTGAGTAATTTCAGCATCAGCATAGTTTCATAACTGGTGATTTAAAATGAATACCACAGAGAGGAGAGCTTTGCTTCTAAGCATTGCTTTCCATGGTCAGGAATTATTGGTTAACTTCTCTCTCTCTCTCTTTCTCTCTGTGTGTGTGTTTTAACTGAAAGGTATTTTTGTTCTGTTTTGCCATTCACTAACTTTAGGATAAAAAGAATATTTAGTCTTTATTGTTTTGAGGTAAATATAATGATAAATTAAACAAAGTAAAGGATTAATATATATATATATATATATATATATATATATACACACAACTTTGTAAAATCATGGGTAGCATTGGTGATAAATAAACCCTAATATATATAACAGCAGAGAACATTGTTTTAAAGGAAATAAAACAATTGGAATGATGCAAATGAGTTATTTTTTATTTAACTTCGAAGGCAACGTTTGTATATTCATTTAGAGATACAATCATAAAAGCATTCACATCTAATTTTGCTCCCTCTCCAAATCCACAGGCGAACAGAAGAGAAACAGCTGAGAAATTAAAAACTCGAGAAGATTCTAAATTCTTCTGTCCAGATGTCTACTTTTTTCCCAACGTTCTTATGAGAACTAGCTCACAAAAGCACAACTGAAATACTGAACCACAATGCTTCTTCCTTGATTTATTTAGAGTGAGAAGCAACCAGCTTCCTATGCAAAAGGGAAACTCAATTGCCTGGATTCAATTTTCATGTATAATGAAACCTATCACCTCAATAAGACCTCTCTAAAGCCTTCCTCTCCTTCAATCTTCTGGAACACTGGGGCCTGAAATGTGGCATTTCAGATTTGCTCTTTCCTTTCTTTTCTTTTTAACAAGTACTCCAGCAGGAAACTGAGAAAACTGTGGCAAAATGAATCTCTCCAAATATGGAAGGAGACACGGATTAGTGGATGTGTGCTGCCAAATGTTTTATCTTAAAGCTTTTGTATTTATGATATATAAACATATACAAAAATATACCATTAACTTAGAGTAATGGAATATACAAGTTTGTTTTCATAAAGGTCAACAATTTCTCAGTTCAGGCAAAAATTAAATATTGAGATTTAAGACCTTTACAGATATGACTTTTAGACTCAACACACCACGCACTGTGATTTTAGACTATTTTTCATAGCACTGTAAAATTCATAATACAGCTTCTTTCTTTTCTTTTTGGATAGCTGTAGATAGACAAACAAATATCAGGTATACACACACATCATAGAATAATGATAGACAGATGATAAATGTTTTAAGAAAATAATCTTGTTAGAGAGGCACATTATAAGGACAGACAATGATAAATGATGGATTAATAGATAGATGATTTTTAGATGGTAGAAAGATGATTATACGTAACAAATGATAAATGATACGTAGAAAGATAGATGGCAATTAAATTATTGGTGGATGAATAGATAGATGATAGATACATAGATGAGTATTGACAGTGGATAAATGATAGGCCGATGATGGATGACAATACACACAGTAGATACATGACATGCCACTAGAAAGCCTTGTAAACATTTTTACATTGCTTCGCACAACTGATATTGAGAAGAACAATAGGAGCAGACATGGTTCTTGACTGGCTTTTCAATGTTATAATCAGACAGCAATCACCAATGTTTAACAACACACCACACAAAGATACAGCTTAAATTTAAAAAGGAATGAGGTTTGAAATTTTCACCTAAATGTTAAATAAAGCCGACCCTACCTTTTTGTAGAGATTGATGGTGCATTCAGAGCATGGCAGTGCAAGTTCCTGTAAACAGAAGGGACCACTGAGTCAAAGGCATTTGCAAACTGGAAGAACTATGAAATAAAAGGACAGACTGCTGACTCTTAAATAATTCTTTTTTTTGGGGGGGGGGTTGATATATTTTTGTTATGCTATCAGATAATACAGACAGAAATTTAGTGTGTGTGTGTTTGTGTGTATGTGTGTGAGTGCATGTGTACAAGAGAAAAAGAGAGAAAGATATTAAATGGTGTTGTTTATATTTAAACATCACATTCACTTAGATTTTATTTTCAGTTTGCTCTTTGGTCCAGGTACTTGTTCCGTTTGAAATTTAACATTTTTCAAAAATTTCAGGAATCCCAGAAATGATGGACCATGGTTATATTTATTGAAATAAATTTTTGTTTTTAGGACTTGGGAAGTAAGTAGGCCTGAATATTATATTAGCCATACCTGAGTAATAAAATAACTTACAAAAAAAATCCATATTCTTACACACACACATAATATGGTTTGTTAAAACGCAAGGGTGATGTATGTCAGACTGTAATGTCTTGAAAAAGATAGAAATAAATTTTGATTCAAGTAACAGATATGTCAATTACTTTATGACATTTTCACACCTTTTCATGATTTTTATTTATTAGTTTTAGTTATGTGTATGTGCATGTGTGTCTGTAAATGTGTGTACACAAATGAGTTGCCAGCAGAGACCAGAGGCATCACATCCCCTGGAGCTGGAGTTAGAAGCAGTTATGAGATGCTTGATATGGGACCTGAGAACCAAACATGTGACATCTTCAAGAGTAGTACATGTTCTTAAGTGCTGAGTCTTTTCTCCAGTCCTCTGTTTCATGTGTTCAAAAGCACACACACACACACACACACACACACACACACACACACACACACAC